TGGACTACTCATACAGTATACATATGAGCAAATTATCCACATACTTCACAATTTTAAACAGTTAAGCCAAGTTAGATGTATTTCTTGAATTCTTGAAAGTTACAATTTTCCTATACAGAAAATATATTTCTGATAGGTACTTACCTCCACTCACATAAATAGCTATTCTCATTCAGTGCTTCCCTCTATACCAAAAAAATTCTTTTTTGCATGCTACAAGCCTTGAGCTCCCACGTACCTTACAATAAACTGATTCAAATGCATCTTGCATGCAAATCATTATGCAACAACCCTCCACCAATAAGAGTGCAACACACTCTCCTGATGCATGTGACTCCCTATATTCGATTCTACCAAACTATCACTTCGAGCTTAGGCAGAAAATGGAAGCACCAGTTTTCAGTGGGGAGGAAGGGTGGGAAGTGTGAGAGGAGGTAAGTACCTACTGGAAATACATTTTCAGTATAGAAAAATTATAACTTCCAATACAGTACATTACCTCTGCTCATATAAATAACTGGAATCCCACATTGAATAGGTGGATGGACCGGTTGAAGGGAAAGAAAAAAGCATCCATCGAAAGCATCCAAAGAACAACCTAAAGGAGTAGAACCTCACAGTAGAGGATCATACATGAAAGACTGCACCACTCCTGTACCAGGTATACTCTTTGCTCAATGTAGAAAGAGGTCTCACAAATATGGGTGGAAAATGGAAGGAGCATATCCAAAAGAGAGAGAACAATGGTTGGATAGGGATCCCAACCACATGATATTGGAATCTCAATCCTTTAGATTACATCAATTTAGGTGAGAGTAAATGGTTGCACCTCCAGTTGTAGAGTGGCTAGAGCTCGAAGGATTGTACACAGTAAGTCAACTACATCCAATACCCAGGCCACCAGGAACCAATATCCACAAGAAAGTAGGATAAGGATCATACCATTAGTAAGTCAACTACAATTCAAAACCCAGCCACCAGGAATCAACATCCATGTGGGGGTAAGAAAGAAGATCATACCACTGGGAAAGTCAACTACAATCCAAAACCAAGCCACTGGGAACAGACATCCATGTGGTGATAAGGAAAGAGGATCATACTGGCAGCAACTCAACTACAATCCAAAACCCAGCCATCATGATCATACCGTCTTCATCTCAAGTTCATCAGACCAGAGGGAATCTTGTACCCCCGATCTATGAATTGGACACATGAAAGAAATGTAAGAAACTGATCTACCAGTCTGGGAACCTGACTTTTGGTATTGTAAAGATGTCTTTGTAATGTAAACTATCTCACTAAAAACCAAACTGACAGGAACTGTCCCAAGTGCAATAACATCCTTGCTATAATAAAATCATTGAGGGATAATGCAAGATGAAGAACTGTATTAATCTGCAACAATTTCTATCATGACAACATGGATGGAGGAACAATAATATAATTGATTGAGGAAATAAAAAACAAAGGTGACTGAGGTTGATGTAGAAGAGATGGAGTAAGAGGAAGAGGTAACAGAAGAGCAGATTGGAGCTGGAACAGCCGTGGGAACCATGGTATGCTGACCAGTAAGGAGCAATCAGAAGGACTTGACATGGAGTGGCATGGATGATCGAGATCACCCTGTGAAGAAGATGGATGGGAGGATAAACAAACAGGTATTGTTGTTCCAATCTTGACTGAAAGCACTGACAGCCAGAGCAAGAGGATGAGGAACTGGAGACCAAAAAAAAAGAGGTAATTTGGTATTGAGAGATGTGGCAAATGCATCTAGGTGAGGAATACCCCACTGAAAGCATAGCCACCAGAAAACAAGAGGATCGAGAGACAACTCTAACAGATAAATTTTGTTTTGACGGGAAAGCCGATCCACAACAAGATAGAATGCACCTGGAACATGACACACAATGATATAAATACCGAGAATGTGGGCCCAAAAAAGATCTAAGGTCTGACTACAAAGAGAATGAGAACGGGTGCCACCTTGTTGATTGAGATAAGCCACCACTGTAGAATTGTCAGAATGATTCATCACCAAACGATTTCTGGCAAGATGAAGAAAGTGATCCAAGGCATAACATACAGCCAGAAGCTCCATGATTTTGATATTGTAAGATCTTTCAGTCAGAGACCACTGACCTGAAGCTTCTTGCTGATCGACCCACACCCCATAGCCCTAAAGAGAAACATCCATGAAGATATGTAAATCCAGATGAGGGGAAGGAAGTGGAACATCTGCTGACTTGTAAGCCTTGCCCAAACACCAGTTCAAATGGTCTACAACAGAAGGAGGAAAGGAAATAAGAGCCTTCAATGGATCCTGCACCAGATTCCATTGATCGTGCATAGTCCACTGAAGAGACCACATATGTGGTCAACTCAAGAAGATAAGGGCTTCCATTTAAGATCACATCCCCAAAAGCTATAGAACCTTGCGAGCTGTAAGAGAGGGAACAGTAAGGGCGTGGAAAACTGAAAGCTCCATTGAAAGAAAAGGTTGGGTCTGACTAAGATCAGTGTTGAAAAAAAAATACCCAGATGGACAAGATATTGGGTAGATATAAAAAATGGCTTCTCCAATTTGACTAACAAGCCCTACAAGCTGCCTCCAGGAGTAGCTGATCAGTGTGATGGGCAAACTCCTGATTGGAACAACCTAACAGAAGCCAGTCATATATGTAATGATGGAAGCATAACGCTTGAGTATGTAAATGTCAGGCAAGTGCCTTGACCACCCAATAAAAGACATACAGGGCCAATGCAAGCCCGAAGGGCAAGACATGAAATAAACTACCCCGTGACGAACGAACCAAAGATAGTGTCTCAACTGATATCAGGATATGGAGGTGAGCATTTGTGACATCTACCTTGGTCATCCACAAACCTAGAGAAAAATCCCACCTGAGGGTGAGAAAAGACTCAATGGTAAATTGGGGTAGAACGAAAAATTGATTGAGGAAGGACAAATCAATCACATGCCGTATGTCTCCAGTTTTCAAACAGCTTGGAATAAAACCTGGAGAAGAATGACTGACAGGTTTGATTGCCTGCTGGAAGAGAAGATCTTGTGCCTCGGACAGATGCTGACTATTAGTAGGATCCTGAGGCAATGGAAAGGAAATGCGTACTTGAGATAACAGAGAGGGGAAAAGAAATTGGATGACAAGTCCTTCAGATAAAACTCAAATAACCCACAGATTTGCAAAGGGGAATAAAATCAGACAAGCAAGCCCCCACTAGACCACAACCCACCAGGAAGTCACCAATACTGTTGGCGACTTGTCCATCTGCATTGAATAGCACGAGATGAGGAACCCCTGGAGGGAAGAATAGGAAAATGCTGAGAAGGAGCTGAATGGGAAACAGCATGGGGCATGTCTAGGCTCAGAATGCAATAACTATCCACCAAAGAAGAAAAGGTAGTGTGTTGTGAGTAACTCCCACCTGTAGCCTGTGTGAGTGTGCTAGTAAAGGGTATGACGTCTGAAGTAGTAACTTGAACTTCAGAATTGATTGTGTACAACTGAAATTCAAACAGAAGTGTTTAATAAAAAAAAGAAGAGAAAAACTGGGAAAATAAGTTATCTGAAAAGCCGTTAACTGTTAAAGAAAAAAAAAATTCACTTCGGAATATTAACTAAAAAAATCCCAAAGTTGAATATATTCAAATAGCACAAAAACCCGTCTTCACACAAGTAGTGCCAAGCTAAAAGTGAAAGTTCAGTAGAATCGATATGGAGGGAGTCGGATGCATCAGGAGAGTGTTTCGCACTCTTATTGGTGGAGGGTTGTCATATGATGATTTGCATGAGAGATGCATTTGAATCAGTTGATTGTAAGGTACGTGAGAGCTCAAAGCTTGTGGCATGCAAAAAAAATTTTGCATATAGAGGGCAGCACTGAATGAGAATAGCTATTTATATGAGTGGAGTTAATGTACCATATTAGAAAACTCAGTTTAAGTTATTGAATCTCTTCAAAAGTTGATCACTTAGTCATTTTAAGGCTTACCAGTAATTGCCTTAACAGTGTATTGTCACTATTTTGTTTAAAAAGTTTTACAATAATGTAGTAAAAATAGGTCAAAACATAAATAGGTTTAAGTACTGAATTTATGAGACAATATTAAAAGTATAGAAAATTGGTCAAAAAGTGATAGAACAATCAATCAACAGATTTCTATCCAATGTAGATTTGCAGAATTTTTAGAAAAAAACCCATTAAGGATAGGTGTAAAAGATAAACAAAAAGATAGTATTTGAAGTACACGATAGACAATTATGAATATGTTAATTCAGTAACAGGGGTGCACGCAGAAATTTTTCTGGAGGGGGGGGGGAATTTTTCCAAAGGGGGCAAGGTAGTGTGAAATTGTGAATTGAATAAAAAATTCATATATATATGCTTAATGAATAAAAAAAGAATTATGTTTCTCATTTTCCAGGTTGGGACAACTGACCCCCTCTTTCCCCCCCTGTAGACACCTATGTTCACTAATAACCATAACCAGTTTGCCCCTAATAAAGGAAGGTCCACCTTTTGAAGGAGCTTGGGTTATAAGGTTTCATATTTTTGTCATAAAGTGTTTTCCTAACATTATGTAGTGTTTATACCATGAAGATTATCCAGTGTCTTCTCAAATTTATAATTATATTTAAGTAACTTAATTGGGGAAGAGTTTTAATGACAGAGAAAACTGACCAGAATCTGCACTTTAGTTATTTAACTGTTTTCCTACTTTAGTTTCCAGAAAGTGATAAAAAACATAAAAACCAAACAAGCTGCTTACATTCCACCACCATATTAGGCTTTTTTTATTCATTTGTTTTGCTTTTCCAAAGGGCAATGATGAACCATGAATTCCGTGAAACTAGTCTGCTGCAGTGAGAGTTGTGAATCAAAGAATAGATTAGGCTTCTATATTATCTTTTCTTCACTGAAATTCATGCTTTGGTGAAGAAAATAAATTAAAAAATAAATAATATTTTCCTGTCACTAACCTTTTTGTACGAAATGATGTTTGATCACATGCTCTATATAGTCCTGACTACAAACTCCTTCAGCTGGTAGAGAAGCACAAACTCCACTTTTACCATACTGACAGATAAATGATCTCCCATTCTTTACACAATGACAATTTTGAAGATGTTGACAGAAGTCTCTTGAGTTGATGAAAGCTGGCATGTGAGGACAAATACAGCAGACTGTTTGTAAATCTGCTTCCCTAAATGATTCTGGGAAAGCAAAAAGTAAAATACAATAGTTTCAATACGACACAATAAATAATGTACACTACACATTATATGTACACACACTACCCTAACAAAATATCAATAAATGTATTAATGGCTGAAAGGCTGTAGCAGTTCTTAACCTCTTTGTACCCTTAAAATATTGATCACCAATACTTCATGTAGATAATAATAGTCTGTATAAAACAAATCAAAACATGTTTACCAAATGATCAAGAAGTACACCACACTTAGCCAGTAGCAGCAAATCAAAGTTCTTGATTGTACAGGAAGGAGTCTGTCAGACTTCAAAACGTTTTGAATTTATGAATCTGTATACTAACCCATGAGTCTTGATTTTGCAATGTTTCATTAAATTTGATCCTTATCCATTTGTGTAAAGCTATAAATTCAACCAAATATGTAAAAGGTGACCATTGTACTTGTTATCACTTCTTTAACTGTAAATGAAATTCATGCACTATTCTTGACTCTGATATTAAACTTGGTCTTGTAAATATTGTACTTACAAATACGTATTAAATTAAACAAGAGTTTAATGTAACTTGATAAGTACTAATAGTTGATACTCTCAAATTACATGATAATCAGCAAAATACTTATAAAGAGATTAAACTTAAAGTAGAAACTTAATAAAATAATAACAGTTGAAAAAATTATGTTTTAGAACAGCTTTTCCTCAAACTGTGGATTATAACTTTCAGATGGTTGTAGGAGGTTCCAAAAGGGTAATGAAGAAGTTAAAAAGATCCACCAAATCTCTTTGAGTTTTTTTTTGTAAATACTAATATATTCAAAGAGATTTACTCCATCTTCATCTTCTCATCTTTTTTCTGTTTGTGCTAAAAGGAAAGTATTTCCTTTACTCTCTTTTCAATTTGTTTCAGATTTTGCACACATCTACATTAATTCTTCTTAATTTTGGACTATAAAATTCCAAGAAATGATGATAATGTTTTATTAAACTTTTCATTTGAAAAAATATTGGTGATACAAAAACACATTGACTTATAAAATTATAAAAGTTATATTACATTGGCTAAACAATGTGAAAGGAGAACTATGGTTTAACATTTTTAATGTGAGCTATGTACTTGGTTTAGCAATTATGGTTTCTCCAAGCATGGTTGCAAAGTTGTTAGTCATAGTTATGTTTCCATATCTTTTAGTCAATAACATTCCTTTATCTTGTGTTTCAATAGTAAGGAAAAATACAAATTTGCAGAGATATTAAAATGTGATGCTTTAAAAATAACTGTTATTTTTATTATGTAAAATGTAAGAAAATACAAATATTGCTATTTGTTTTTTGTATATTTTACAGAAAAATAAAATATTTTCCAGAGTACTATCAACCTTAATTTAAACCTTCTATAACCCCACACACACAAAGTTTGGGAAAACATAGATTATAGGGAAGGCAGCTAGTCAACATCACCCACAACTAACTCTTGGACTACTCTTGTATGACCAAATAAGAGGATTTGACAATCACTCTTATACAGAGCTGGAGAATTAGTGGAATTTGCTAATCAATTAGTGATCAGACTTATTAATAGATTATTCTGACATGATATGGTCAACACTGGTGCAGCAATTAGTATCATCACACTTTCTGTCCACTGTAGCAATTCACATAAATAGTCCTTTAGACATTTGTGTGTGTTACTCACTTTTAAACTGTTCAACTGTTTCTGGAATTACTTGTCCATGTTAATGAGTAGAAAAGAGTCCACTGGTACATGAAATCATGCATGCCTAGTAAATCTAAGTGTTTTTCACTCAAACGAACTTTTGTTTTCAAATAGTGTTAAAAATAGTCTTATATTAATGAATTAAATCATAAATATAATTTGATTGAAGATATAATTGTAATCTTTGCATGTTAATCACTCTTAAATTGTTCAATTGTTTCCATTTTTGGAAATACTTTCCATATTAATGAGTAGAACAAAGACCACTGGTATATGAAATCAGCCACACCCAGTAAATTTAAGCATCTTCACCCAAGTATGTTTTTCTTTGTTTTCAAATTGTGATAAAACTGTTTTAGTAGTGTATGAAGTTATACGATACAACATTATTAAAGACATAATTGCAATCTTTGTGACTACAGTTTCAAATGCCAATGAAACTTCTGTAATAAGCTACATGTGATTATCTATATATGCTGTTTCCAAATGCAATATATATTTTGGATCTGTAAAGATAATATGAAATATTCTTTAAAACGAAAAAGATTAATTTCATTTTATAAAAGCTAGTCTTTCAAGGTGCAATTTACAGTTTGTTCATCAAAAAAGTCAAAGAAATAATGAAGATATGAGGAAATCCATGTGCTCCGCTAAGTGCTCTTTATGTTTCAGTGGTTACAGAAAATTATCTAATTAAATATTGTTTTACATGCGTTAAGTTAGGATTCACTCAACCACTAAGAATTCCATAACTTCATTTGTAATTGACAGTATCACAATTCAAAGTGATATGGAATGCACTATTTGTGCTTTATACAAATTCTGCATTTTCTTTGAGATTTTATAAATTTGATATTTAATAACGTCCCTACACATGAGACTAATATTCCTATTTCCAACTTGTTTGGGTTTTTTAAGGACATTTTCGACCTACACATTATTTCATATGAGACATCTTCGTGTACAACAATTTAGGATTAAGTTACTTTTTAATCCTAAACTGTTGTTTTTTGTACATGAAAATATAGCATACAAACAATGCAGTACAAACCTGTAAGTAGCTGAAAATATGATTTACCATAATGTGGGTTTTCCTTACAAATTGTCACAATACTAAAACTACTGAATGCTTGTTACTGAAAATGAGTACATTCCTCTGGGAATTTTGCAAATGCATTTCAGTGCATTTTCCTAAGAAATCTTATGTTTGGTGCACATTTCCATGACTGGAGTGAAATTTAATAATTTCATTTCTTGCAAGCAACTTACCAAAAAAAAAGTGAAAAAGGACATAATACATCTAGTTCAAAGTTTTAATAATTAATTTATCCTATCACAATTATATAAAGTATTACTTTCCAAGCACATGCAGTTTTAAAATTAACATAAATTTGGATTCTATATATATTACTAACTGAATGCAGATGAGTGTAATTTATAAATAAGTCAGTTTTTGATACTTATTACTATTTCAATGAAATGTAAGTCATCTGTTACAATGCCTTCTAACTAGAGGAATCAAGTAATCTTGTGATAAGTAATCAGTTTAGCTTGACATTAAACTACCAATGCCAGTAGTATTAACCCTGTTGCTGGACATACATGTATAAAATGGGTTGCAAGTTGTTTAGCCTTTAAAAGTTAACCAACAACAGAACGTTTAAACATTTTCTACACTACTTAACCACAGTTTGTCAGACTAACTGTATAAAGAGCCTTGAAATAATTTTATGGAAAAAATAAGTTAAAATACATTAATCACAGAATAAAAATAAAACATACTGACATAAATATTCATTGCTTCCTATTGTATAATTATTGTCAAGAGGCATAATTGCCAGGCGTATAGTTCCTAACAAGTCACACAAATCATAAAAAAATCATGTGATATTGTGGTATACAGCAATATTTACAAAGGTATTACTGACATATGTAGCATTATCTGATAAAAATAAAACATATTGTTATACTGTTATTTTAACTGCATTTCTTTGCATAATGAAAATGAAAAGTCTTATTTTCAAAAGACCATTTGTTGACTTTTGTTAATTTGTAACTGAAAGTTGTAATGGTTGTTGCTTGTTATGATCATGCATAGCAAACAGCATGAGAGACTGGTGTGATCACATTTTCAATTGTGCTAGGTAATCTACAGATTTTCTAATAAATCAGCTGTCGAATATTATACTATAATTATATTTTTATTATAATAAAAAGTAAAAAACTTAATGTATAAAAGCTAAGTTACTGTACAGTGTAAACTATTACTTTGCCAAAACTACACCAGCTAGTTTTACTTGAAGAGAAACACCAGTCACCAAGCTATCACATGAAGTGTACTATGAAACAGAATATTGTTAACTGAGAAGACTATCACAGAAAACTTTATGAATTATAATTCTAGTGTGTTCTTGAAAAATTAGATTAAACCTGAAGATAATGAAAACAATGTACAGCTAGACATTTTAATGCTCCATGTATAACTACACCAGTAACATAATATGTATCTTATGGAAAATGTTAACATAATAACAAGAGTTCTAGAATAACAGTTGTGTGTTACTAAACCAATCCTAAGTACATAACTGAGATGATACCAAAATATTTTTATAATAATTATTCTAAGAAGTGACAGGATTTTTCTTCTTTAAGTCATATTATATGTATTATAAAAATAAATCAAAATAATTTATTGAAAATAAATGAAAATTCAGTTTGAAGTATAATTATATGTAAAACAAGAAGACCATGATAATGTCAACAATTCTCTTTCTATGCATAGGTTGGATTTGTGCCCCAAACAAAAATGTAGTCACTACTGAATAATTGAAACAAAGTTGCGAATGTCTCCCTTGTATAATATACTGGTTACTGAACAAGTAACAAAAAAAGGGCATTTCTCTTTGTTTTAGGGTAGTTCAGATTAGAGATCAGTGTTCAGTTAATGAAATACGACTTTTCTTCCTAGTACATATATATTTTACAATATTTTAAATTTATTGCTATAGGGAGGGCTTGAGCCCTCAAGAGTTCTCCTTTGTTGCATGAATGCCCAAAGTGATGTAACACTGGTTATGTTTGTAAGATGTAATAGATAAATCAATGTAATAAATTGAAGTAACACTATTCTTTAGTCGAAACACATACAGCAGGCATCACCGTGGCTAGTTATTTAACCAACAACCACTAAGCCATGCCATTACATTCATATGTTTGTACAAAAGCAAAACACATGCATAATGTTGTGCTAATGAAAGTAGTACCAGCTAACACATTGTGTGAGTTCAGTTTGTATGCATTTGAAACTGAATAAATTTGTTAAGAGCTAAGATAAAGCTACTAAATTCATTTGCAGCCATCCCAGAACAAAGGTAACTGGCTGGCAGCACCCACTGACAACTCCTGAGCTACCAAACATGTTTGTTCTTTTAGCCTTTAGAGCATTATAATGCCATGGTCAATTTCATTATTAATTTGTAAACGATTAGCCCAAGAATTGGTGTTGGGCACTGGTTGCTTTCCCTCTAGATAACAGGTCAAAAATAGGTACAGTGGCTGATACCCTTAATAATTTTGTCATTATTCAAAAACAAAGCCATACAAAGTCCCCACAGCTGAAAGAGCAAGCATGTTTGGTAGTAACACGAATAATAACTCAGGATCTTCAAACCATGAGGTGCATGAGTGTTTTAAAGTTAAATAATAGTTTAAAAGTAAATGTGTAGTGCACTGTTGTTCTAGCAATTTTTTGAGATAGTTATTATCTCTTGATTTTTTAGTTACCTGAGGAGGTCTTGCATGTACACCCTCAAAAAAATGGGATCCCAGAGTGAAAAGCCTGAGGATTTTTCATATAGTGTACACCAGCTGATTTCTCAAATTCAGTTATATTGACATTTAATTTTACCTGTTTCATTACTTCTGCATTAATACTTGTTTCTTAACTATGTGTGCTGTAAGTACATATTCAAACTGTTTTTAATAGTGTAAAAATTAACAAAACAAGAGTGAATCCTCAATAGCTGCAGCACTTAAAATTCTTTTAGGCAGGATTAGAGTAAATTAATCTACGAGACTTTTTTTCCTCTTTATTAGCTATATTTTTGTGCACCAGCAATACCAAGTGTGGGGCATGAATATACCCAATTCAATTTTATTACTCATCAGGATCTCTACCAGCCCATCCTCAAACTGAAATTCTTTTAGGCAGGATTAGAGTACATTAATCTATGAGACCTTGGGCATGGTCAAATACATCTATTGAAAGATTTTGTCCTCCTGAGTATAAAATTGTAATTAGATCTTGAATCAGTCAAGAGATCACAGAGCTATGAAATAAAAGCCTGTACTGAAAAACAAACAAACTCAGAGCCATTCTATGAGCTACTATGCTGCAGCTAAAAACTATTATCTGATAAAGTAATTTTGTTCTTTTATTCTTTAATTATACTTCAAGAATATTTTCCTAGTAGCAGATGGTCGTTGAAACAATTCAATGGTAATTTTCTTAAATTAGCAATAAATAAATTAAAAATGTGCAGTCAACTCAATGCCTTGGATCATAGCATATATGCAATATGATTGTCTGACGGGCCATTTACAACCATATTTTGTCATTTCATGTGTTATTTCAATAAGGAAAATTGAGCTGCACTTGTTTTATGAAAAGGAGACTTACTGCAATGCACTGCTTGGGTTTTGATGCAATGAATGGATCTAGCACAATAGGGTGCCCAGGTTTGCTAAGTAGCCATGGGGATTTTTTCCACTGGATGCTACCATTCTTTGTCAATTTACTGAGTGAAACAACAGACCATTACAAAAGTGAGCACTTTTTGAAAGTTTTCACTTCCTTAAGAAGTGTCAAAAGGAAGATAATTCAATTCAAAACAATTTATTCAACATAGTACAATAAAATCATGCATGTATATAATACCAACATGAAATATCTATAATAAAAGGGCATATCTGTGTGTGGCCTCCATAATTCCAAGAGGAACAAACCTACAAACCTGAAATTTTGCATACGTACTAAGAGGGCCCTGAGGGTGTGCACCTGAGTATAATTACTTATCTATTTGCGTGTACATCTTTTTGTGAGATAAGCAAGCAAAAAACCCCATAGAAAAGAATATGTGACTGCATTAAAATACAAAACTGTCTACTAGGAAGTAAACTTCATGGTACAACAAATATTATTAAATCACGTAACAACTAACCCGATAAAATGTTTGACTTTTCAAAGCCATAAATTCATACAAATATCACATGTAAAAGCTTTTTCTTTTTGCAAAAGCTGTATAGTTTTTACTAAGTGCATCTCTAGTCTTAAAAAATTGCATCCAGTAGCTTTTTTTTTCATGAAACATACCAAACAACAGGTGTGTCACATCAACACACCTGAGAGATTGAAAATTAAAAAGCTTAATTTTTTTTACACTAATACTAGAGCTTAGAATTATCTATAAAAATTGCTAGAATAAGAAGTTTCGGATGTACTTAGCCAAATTGAAATATTTTATACTATTATGTTATGATTTAATTAAATGATAATTATGATATCATGGTTTTTATCAAGGGTGATTTTTCTCAACACAGTTCTGATGTCTCTCTACAGTACTAGGGAGGTTTCAAGTTGATTGCTTTTGAATAAGATATTTTGGTACTGTTTTCTCCTCTAAAATAATGGTCATTTTCCCATTTCAATTTTAAATTAAATCATGATCATCACACTTTCTACATACATATATGTTCAAGTCAAGTGGAGGAAGGTTGTCCTGATACATGCCCAAATTTTTCATATTGTTCAAAGTAAGAAAGTAAGAAATCAAGATCAGAAACTAATAATGAGTCATAATTGGAAATGTCATTGACAAAAATTGTTGTTGGATTCATGAAACAGTTATACATTTCTGCATAAAAACCAACACCCAACAGCATTGAATTTAATTATCATAAACACAAGTCTAAAACTAGTATATGATTCAGAAATGTCTGCACAATAATTTTATACAAAGGTTTTTCTGGTAGGAAGGCAAGTGCATAAAAAATAATGAAATATATTTCCCAATTCTATTTTTTTGAAATGTTGAGTAAAATTAAAAATTAGTAGAAAACTGAACATAATAATTCATAATTATGTTTCTTGTAGCCACATTCTGGAAGTCTAGGATAATTCTTGCAAAAATTTCCAGTGATGTCTTATAGACATAAACAAAGTTTCGGTCACCTTAAAATGGGAAAGATATCAACAAGTAATATATGTAGACATATGCTGATAAAGTATGATTTAAGTGACCCACGCTATGTAGACAGTCTTCCATCTTTAGGCTCATTTTTTCAAGAATTATTGGCTTAAAAGACTTGATTCAAGTGTTAAGGGTTTGAAAAGTGTTCCTATAGGTGGTTATGTAGTGGTAAATGAAAAGGTTGGAAAATTGAATATTAAGCACAAAAGCTTTGGATGTTCCTTAGAGTTAAATATATCTATTTGATTGATTATAAGACTGTGGAAAATTTTGCTTGATGACCTAAAATATGTTGTTGGTTAATCACTTTGGGTATACAGATGTGAAGCCAAGCTATAATACATATAGAGGTGATGTTCTGGTTGGCTTTTGTGATTGAAGGTGACTTCAATGGGCTAAATAGCTTTCCATCACCTTGTTTTTTGGGGGTTTTCAATCCAATTTTTCACTTGCAGCATTGTTATTACATCTAATGACGTAGTGTAGATGTTGAACATAAATCATACTCATAGTAAATTACTACTTGCAAATGTTAACACTACAGCATGCTTGCCCTAAGAAAATTTACCATGCTCACCTTTTAAAGATCCTTTGATAGAGTTATCACCCATGATGTTCTGGAAACACAATAGTCCTGTTCTTGAGAATCAATGAAGAAACAAACTACTGCACACAGCTGCAGTGATACTAAGAGTCGCAATCACATCCAAAGTTAAAACTGTCATTTAGAGTCTAGACATTAAATGTGATTTTACAGTTACACCTATTTAACGTTCTGTGTCAAGCATAAAAATGTAGACTTAAAAGTAACAGTATTATTATTAGTATTAAGTTTAATGTTAAACTCAGTTCAGCCTTGACATGAAATATTCTGGTGCTTGTACTGTTGTAGAGAATAAATAAAAATTTAAGTCCCACGAGCTACACAACAAACAGTTAATAATCATGTAGACTGTAGCACCTTTACGTGAAAATAGAAAATATTATTATTAATATTAGGCTAGTAATGTACTAGACTGTACTGAAACGGTGAAACTACTAGGGCTAAAAATCTAACAACATTTACAAAGAAATGTTCGAAAAGTGTCGTGAACTTGACAATCTTGTAACACAAGCCAGGTAACTTGTAACTTTTAAGTTTAAACTTTCCCAGTCTTTACGATATTTACTTTAGGAGTTTAGCATTTAAGTTTCAGATACTGAATTACACTCTTTCCGTGTATGATGGATAATAATAACAATTGTTTTCATATATACTAAATAACACATTATTAAAAACCCTTATGTTACAATTTAACAAATATTATTAATAATAAAATCTCGGAACAATTTTAGTAAACTCAATCAATGACTTGTCAGGCGCGCCACCAGCCTGGCAAAATGTATTATTATGATTTACCGAACATATTAATTACTCATAATTAATAAATTTCCTGTCATCATTAATTTTTTATCTATTTAAATGTGTTTATACACGTATAAACATGGATTTCTAGAATATTACTTAAATATTATCAGACAAATTTGAACATAAAAGGAAGTGGTAAACTTTATTAAATTTCATACCAATTTTAAAGTGGGAGGCCGAATTATGCAGAGATGCATGTATCACAGGCATGGCGAGAAGAAGCAAAGCAATATAAGCAGAATTGTATTTTAGTTACTCTAATTATCTATGAATAAACGCGGTAATGATTTGTCTTAATACTTTCGTCTAATTGTAAATGATATGTTCTTTTAGTAAAATACTAAACACCTAATAGTTAAAGTTAACAGATATATGTATTAGACTCTTTTTTTTTTTTTTTTTTGTTAGTAAAAGCAACTTCAAAAACGTATCGTCAATCATCAATAGTTACCAAACCAGTTTTAAGTCAGTGTTTTATAGTCATTTTATTAACAAGTGTATTTGGAGGAAATTTAAACTTAGAAGCAATAGAATTATGAGCCAATAAAGATGTTACTAATTTATATAGATCTTAGTAATTTGAAACGATCCAAGAGTAGTCAGTGATTTTTTTTTTTCTTCTTTGAGGTTTAAGGTAATTTTTTATTTACCAAAGCTATTTGTTTTAGAACAAAGCCACTTTGGACTATCTGCTATGTCCACTACTGGGAATCAAACCCTGGATTTTAGGGTTTTAAGACTGTAAAGTTATCACTGTCCCACTAGGAACTATTCCAAAGCAATCACAACAATGTTGAAATAATGAGTGTAATAATTTTTATCAAGGTCAGTAATGGTGAAATAAAACGTAAATGAATGTATTTTAAAGTAATTTGTTTGTTTTGAATTTCGCGCAAAGCTACACGAGGGCTATCTGCGCTAGCCGTCTCTAATTTAGCAGTGTAAGACTAGAGGGAAGGCAGCTAGTCATCACCACCCACCGCCAACTCTTGGGCTATTCTTTTACCAACGAATAGTGAGATTGACCGTCACATTATAACGCCCCCACGGCTGAAAGGGCGAGCATGTTTGGTGTGACGGAGATTCGAACCCGCGACCCACAGATTGCGAGTCGAGTACCCTAACCACCTGGCCATGCCGGGCCCTGTATTTTAAAGTTTTGAGTAATTAATTGACTTGGAAGGAATTACAAGTTCAAGTTCTAGTGATAGTTAAATGATATTTATTTTAAATAATTCATTTCCAAACTCAACAATAAAACACGTGTGGAAACTAATTAAACCCATAAAGTGAAATAGTAAGACTTCAAATCTCCCGGTTCCCTATCATATCTGTAATAACCTCAAATATGTTCAGGTTCGGTTAAAAACTTATTAAGGAGTTAAACTGTAGTTTTTTACTTTGATGAAAGAAAAAATTAAAAATATATGAACAAAATGAAAGGCAATCTTTATTTACAACAAAGACAATCAAAGTTTTTTTACTATGAAACAATGGTTCGCTGAAAACATGACTCTAGACTCTGTATTAGATTTATGGCTCGATCATTTCATACTAACTATAAGACAGTACAACATTATACACAATATTCTACAATACTGTCAGATATAATAGACTGTTTAGTGTAGGTATTATTTATTTATTCATTTTGTAAGTGAATATCTCATGATTGTTTAGTTTTTCATAACAAGAGAGTTAAGAGAAATTATTTTAAAGGCGATAATTATGACAAGTTTAGTTATGTAACTAGGTAAAAATCGTAGATTGTGCTTATAATTCATTGATGTCAGGCTATCAAACGTTACATGCAATCGATTGATGTTGAGGATATAGAGATTCCAAGAAGGCATAAGTGATAGACGTATAATAACGGCAAGCAGACGAAAGAAGGAGCAGATGTCCGGCATGGCCAGGTGGTTAGGGCGCTCGACTCTCAATCTGAGGGTCGCGGGTCCGAATCCCCGTCACACCAAACATGCTCGCCTTTTGATTAAGATGTTTATCAGTGAAGATTGGGGGCATATCATCTGCTGATGGCCCTCCCCCCCCCCATAACAAAAAAAGAATAAGCAGAAGTGATTAAAGTAAATTCACGGGAAGGAGAAGTTCGGCCAAAGAAAAGTTAATCGTCGTGAGAGTGAAAAGCCTAACGTTTCATATTGTTACGCCTCCAGTCGTTAGTTAATTTTCCGTAACTTCGTTCCGACGAAACTTTAGCGACACAAGTCCTTTTTTAAATAAAACTGATTTATTCTTTCTGAATATAACTTTGTGATACACTTAATTTCAACAGTCGCTCTATAACAAACGCTAGAACGTCTCACGTGCTCAACAATACTTAGTTCAATTACACACTCTCCGACTGCATTTCAATTACTCACTACCCTGTTTTCCGTTATATATATATCAAGACTAACACATTCTTGATGGAACAAGATATTTCTAGAAAGAGGTGGCGTGATACTAGTCACGTGACCTCGCTGACGCAACACTGCCCCTTCTTAGTATTGTTCGTCCTGAACAATAGCCACTTACAATAAACCAATAAACAATTAACAATAACTTAATTAAATGTATAGAATTACAAGCACAAAATTACAATTCAACAAAGTCTCTCAATTTTACGGGACGTATCTTCTTCTGTACTGGTCTCCGTCTCGTTGGCTTCTGCTTCATATGGGGTTCATCTGTTTCATCAGGAAATGTCCTATTATCAGTGACAGTCACATCAGTGGTAGTAACTTCGTCAAGGGCTTCACTGTTTCCCTTCTCAAAACTAAGTAGAGTTTCTTCTTCGACGGTGGCTTTTTCAGGTGACACATCTTCAGCAGCGTCATTTGTTCTGTTGTTCACTTCATCCCAACTGAAATGTCCTGGACCGTGATAATGCCAAAGCCTGTTGGCATGCACCACTTTTGGCTTACCTCGCCGACCACATTTTATCCGGAAAGTCAAGTCTGAGAGACGATCCACTATGTCATATGGGCCTTCCCATGGAGAAGACGACTTAGGAGACTTCCCTTTGGTCTTCCTGGGATTATACAACCACACCTTTTCTTCTGGTTCAAAGCTGACTTCAGTAGATCTCTTATCATAAGATAGCTTCATCGAATCAGCAGACGTTTTCAAGTTTTAACGTACTTGATGGTGAATATCATCCATCCTTTCCGATAACACTTTCACAAACTCTGACACATTCCCAGGTAACTCTTCAAAAGGTGGGCGTCCTTTATGCTTGGGTACTCTTTTAGCACTACATGTACTGCATGTTCTGCACCATTCTTCTTCATCTCGCCTTATACCTATCCAGTAAAATCTTTGTCGTAGATGACTCAATGTCTTCCTAATTCCGAGATGTCCTCCTGTTAACTTATCATGGGATTGACGCAGCACAACTTCCTGTAACTTCCTCGGTATAACTGTTTGCCAAGTCGTCACTTTCCCATCTATAGTTTCCCATCTCCGGAAAAGAATACCATTTTCAAGCTTCAACTGGTCCCATTGTGCCCAATAGTGCTTTGTCACAGGGCTTAGACTAGACACCTTCTCCCAAGCAGGGTGCACAACACTTGCTTTTAGAAAATCAATTATTGGCTTCAAATCCTGGTCTTTCTCCTGTTCTGCTTTAATATCTATATTTGGTTCCACTTCATCATCATCAACTCTTTCAGTCGGCTTGACTTCAGCTTGATGGCACCTAATTAGTTCAACTTCTCTTTTAATAGTTACCGGAACTTGGCCTTTGTTGTTCCCAAACGTCATTTTATCATAATCAATTATAAACTTCCTTGGTAGTAGAAAGTCCAATCCTAATATGCATTGGTCTTCAATGTCAGCCTGTCTTTCTGTCTGTCCTTTATGCCCATGAGCTGAATAGTTACCCACACTGGTCCCCACATTCTTGTAGAATGTCCTGTCACACCACAGAGCTTCTGTGTAGCTTCTGGAACTCCTTCGTGATCTAACACCTTGATGCTCACAAGGGTTTGCTGAGATG